AACACGTTGCGTGTACAATCTCTACATATATATTAAAAACATTCTTTCTCTCGAGTGTTGTTGGCAAAAAAAGAATTATTTCTCTTTAGGCATATGGATTATGGAGGTTCACCCAACCCAATAAGGCAATAATTTTTGTGTTTTTATTGACTGATTTATATCTGTAACATATAGAGACAAAAATAAATGTGGAGAACGAACGCAACAGATTTTTTTTAATTTTTTTTAACTCAACAAATTTTACATCTCTCTTACATACTCACTGTTAAAAGTCCCAAAACTTTGTTGAAAAATGTCTCATTTCAAATCCAAGACAAGCTCTCACAAAATTAGACCAACAATAGCACTCAAAGTTCACCACTTTACCAGTTTCTCTTGACCATATAGATTATCCAAGCCGGCAACAATTCCACAGTTGAAGGGTCGAGGCTGGTGAATTATTACTATTATTATGTACTTGGTTGGTGGCCTCATCTGCGACTAGGGTTTCCGCGTGGACCAGTCATTGCAGCAGAGCCGTAAGGCGTGTTGTTGGATGGTCCAGGTGGGAACATACCGCTCTGTGGTCCTGAGGCTAACCTTGTTGGGTCATACGGACCAGCAGGTCCTCTTGGGAAGTTGTAACCGGGTCTTGGAGGGAAGTATCCTGGCTGAGTTCCTCCCGGATAAGGGTATTGCGTTGTGGCAAAAACCGAATTTGGTCCAGTTGAGTTACCAGCAGCTGGAGGAGGAATATATCCCTGCAAAAGTAACAAAATATACAAAGCTCAAGCACATTTATATGTTATTCCAAGCAGTTCAAAAGTGAGCAAAATACTAAACAAATCTAGAACTCATCGTTCGACTTATACTGTTGTAACGATTTTGAGCGCTAAGTGTATAGATTTTACTTTCATGATAGTAATAAATGTGGAAAACTATAGTGGGTCTCAGAAGTTTGAGAATTAACAATTAACTGTTAATAAAGTGAGTGCAGATTTGTGGCTTTATGGTACATATGCAAGACAAGCTAAAAAAGGCTTGCAAAGAGAAACTGACGAACCTGGGTACCAAAAGCATCCTGATAGATACCGTGTCCACTTTGATGCCCAGAAGTATCATGATAGCTACCGTATCCACTTTGATGCCCAGAAGCATCATTTTCAGCATTGATGTTGCTACCATAAGGGCCACCTTCATTTGATTGACAGATACAACTGTTAATATACCGAAACAGTTTGTGGAAGAATTAAGCAGTAGTATAAAAGGAAACTAAAGGAATAATTGAATACCGGCTCTTCTGTCCGAATTTGCACTGCTTATCAATTGTGCTTGGAGTTTCTCTACTTCCCTAGCCATGGTCATGTAGTTCTTCTCCATTGCCTGAAGTGACTCGATATGGTCGTTGTAAAATTTCTTCTCATAGTCATATGTTGCCCTGCAGAATCAGATAACAAAATTCATCCCCACCTTTATAAGATAACGATACAAAGGCTGGCAAACTTCATAGCTAAAGAAGAGTGCTGAGAGTTTGTGATATCAGAAACTTCCATACCGATAATCCAAAATCTCAGATTTCAAATTCTACTTCCAATTATATTACCTACATGTTTCTCAGAAATAGCCACCCAAAAAAACAAGAAAAGAATTAGAACAAATACCTGCACTGCTGGTATTCCTGCCTTAAGCTATCAAGTTCGGACATGAGAGCTGGTACTTGCTGCACATCAGAACGAGATTTCTGAAGTTCCTGAGTCAAGTGATGCACTTTGGACATAAGTTCCTCCCTCGTCACGACCAGGCTATGTGCCTCAGCACGTGCCTGTTGCATCTCCAACTTCACAGCCTCGGCTTTCAGAAGTTCAGTCTCCATTTTCGCAACTCTATCTGCAAGACCGCTCATCCGTTGCTCTCTCTCGGACTTCATTGACCCAATCTGCGAGTGTAACATCTGCAATTCGTGCTGCGCTGCAGCTAGTTCTTGTCTTAGGCTACCATGTGTAGCAGCAAGTCTCTGATTCTCAATCGCAAGTCTCTGCATTTCCCCGTGTTGCGCCACAAGTTTCTGCTCCATGACTTCAGGTGGAGGCAGCATGTTAAAGGAAGGATACACACCCTGAGCAGAAGGCGGTATTCCAGGACCGAATGCCTCGGGATGAGCCATACCAGGACCTGGAAGTGGACGCCTCATATGAGGAGGTGGAATTCTTCCTTTACTTCCCATCAAAAAGGGTTCAATTATCAACTGAGAAAACATAACAATAGAGAAGTATGTCACACATTCACACAAGCCTATGTAAGCAAGTAGAAATATTCAGGTCAAACTTGTTCATATCCAAACAGAAACAATCATCAGATAGTAATGATTCTGAATACTAAACTTTGGAAATCAATTAATCTACAAAATTTACAGAGCACCAGAATAAGGGTTCTACGTCACCGGTAACAACTCGAATCAAGAATAAGATTCCGATTAAATCCTGAATAATCTAGATTTACAAGATTCTACAAAAGAAGGGGAATAAAGTAGGAGATCGATACGAACCTGAGAAGCAGTAATGGTCTAAGAGGATAATCGAAGAAGCTTTCTGGTATTAAATTAAATTAGATTAAGAAGGAAGGGACCGCCGATACAAACTCTTTCTGTTTATGAGTCTAGCTAATAAACTTGAAGGAGTTCTCGGCATAGAAGATAGAACCGTCGAAGGAAAAGACAATTACAAATTAGGTTTTTCACCCCAAATCCAAAACATAATCTCTTAACATAACCCTCTTAGTCAATCAAAGGGTTCAAAATAAACTTTGTTTTATACCCTTTGTCTCTTGTTTTAAGGAATTTGAATCTATTTTTAAAAAATAGATTTTTAATTAACTAAATCAAGGGCATAATCAGACTGTAATTTTAACTAAAGTATAGATCATCAAACTTAAAAAAGCAAAAACGTCCTTAATTTTCCCTTATATCAAAAATAAACTTTTGCATCATTGAAATGTTTGTACCAAATTCAAATTAATAAACCATATCCCCGTCTTATTAAAAGAGAAGTACAATTAGTTAGAATGATTATTTGTTTTAATTTTATTGGCTCAAAACTATGACTTGTCATGGAAAAATTATGATATGACTATAGAAAAATATGACATGGCTTAATCTCTAATTACTCTTTTAACACAATTTTTATCAC